GAAAAAAATTATTAAAAAAATTATAAATAAAAATATTATTGTATAAATAATTTAAAGAAAAAATAATATAACTATTTTAGTAGATAATAATTTAAATAAAAGAATATATTATAAAATAATATAATACAATTAATACAAATTAATAATGAACTTTCAAGATATCACATTCACGACAGTTTTAAACCGTCACAATCAACAACGGTAACAAAAATCAAAAGGATATTCACGACAGTATTTAACTGTTGTCATTTCCAATTTATGTCAGTTCCAACCAGTCGTGAAATAGAGTTCACGACAGTTTTAAACCGTCACAATCAACAATGAAAATAAAAATCAAAAGGATAGTAACGACGGTCTTTAACCGTCGCCATCTCCAGTTTAGGTCAGTTCAAACCCGTCGTGAAATATAACGACGGTTGTGTGTGACGGTTTTTTCAACCGTCGCTAGGGCTGGCAATGAACCAAACCAACTCGAAGATAGTTCGGAATTCGACTCGACAATTAAATCGTTGAACTAGGTTCATGAACCAAATGAGTTGAGTATGAGCGAAAAATTAAGTTCGTTAACTAAATGAGCTGAACTTGAACTATACATAGTTCGACTCGTTAGGTTCATGAGTCAACTCGATTACATATGAAAAGAATTATACTGTCTTTAAGATTAGGTTTAAATATTTACTTCAAATCTTAGACAAATTTAATCTTCAATTTAGTAGTTTTTGAATTAGACTCTCAAATGTATCTCTTGAAAGTTGTGTAGGTTTTGAATTAGTAGATTTTGAAGATAAAGTTAAATTTCAATATGATCATTTTTATTTTATTTTAATATTTTATTTAAAAAAATATATATTTATTTAAAATGTCAAATATACTAAAAAATATATATATTTAAAAAAACAGTTTTTAAGTTCGTGAACCATGTGAGCTGAACCTAATGAGATGAACCTAACGAGTCGAACCGAACTGCTCGTGAACTTATAACGAGTCGAGTTTGAGCTTAAAAAAAAGTTCGTGTCAAACTCGAACTCGAACTCGAATTCGAACAATTCTTAACGAGTCGAGCCGAGCTGAGGTGAGTTCGACTCGACTCGACTCATTTCCAGCCCTAACCGTCGCTAAACAGCCTGGGGACACACGTTTCTGCGACGGTACTACAACCGTCGTAGAATGTAATTGATGGTGGTTTTAACCGTCGTAACCTGCCAAAATAACCGTCGTAATCCATCGTTTTTCTTGTAGTGTCGGTTCATTTTAATCATCAACAACAAATACTACTCTTCACATTCTCTCAGATTATATCATTTGTAAAATGGTTATATTGACTATGGGTGAAATGCACAAAGGAACCGTCGCCAACATTGAGACTTATGTAAGTGTTTATTTCGCTACTATAGACTATATTTTTTCTATCACATTATAAAACAAATTACTTTATTCATTTTTTGTAGGATCCATCTAGGTTTCATATTCGTCAACACAAATATGTTACCCCCCAACGTGTTGCTTGAATCTTATATTGAGCTCGCCGGTTTTAGACATGTTAGAAAAATCATGTCTGACTCGGTTGATGCTAAGTTTATACTAGCTTTACAAGAAATATGACGACTCGAGACACACACTTTCTTTTTTCTAACCAGTGAATGTACTGTAACGTTAGAGGACATGTACATGTTACTGGGGCTACCTATTGAGGGTGAGGTGGTCAATGAAAAAACCAGCTTTGCAAATTCAATTTGTGAGGATCTTTTGGGTGTCGACTTATTTAATGATAACCCGAGAGGCCTAGGTATCTCACTTTCACACCTTAAGAAATATTACAGCAGCTTAACATTAGATGAAATTTCTACAGAAGAAAGGAAAATAATAAAATCTATGTGTTATATTATGCTTATAATTGGTTCATTATTATTTTCCAAAGGTAGTGGTTCTAGTATGCATGTTATGTATTTACCCTTGTTAAGACACCTATATAAAATAAGAATATATAGTTGGGGTCCCGCTTGTTTGTATTATTTGTATAGCTCTTTGTGAAAAAATGCAAAGAAAAACACATCAACATTTTTTGGATGCACCATTTTGCTCCAAGCATGGGATTCGTCTAGATTCTCGTCCCTATCGCATATCAACCTCAACAACTTCACATTCTCGTACGCACAAAAGTAAGTTAACAACATTATTTCCATTTACTTACTTTACCGATTATTATCTCTAAATAATTTATTTGAACTTTTTTGGTTTAGACGGACGACATGCGGTATGACTTACAACAGATGTCCTATACACTATATCAATTAGTATCATAATCTCTTAGATCACTTTACACCAGAAAATATTTTGCCACTAAACGAATCAATTAATAAAAATTTATTTTTAATATTACCCATTTTATAATCTAATATATTTTTCCTCTATATTTTATTTGGCGTCCATATCTAAACTCGGTACATAAACATGAAGCCAGTGAAAACATGCAACCGTTTGGACTGCATGCACGCCGATCATCAGTTTGACCACTGTAGAGATGCACCATAACGATCGTGTGAAACTGCAGTTCAAAATGCTTTAAAACATCCCAGATCCCCCGACATGCTTCAACCAATGGCACCGATGAAAAATTAACGAATAATAGAACTCTGACAATTGGGAGAACTTCTCTAAATCTGCGTGTCGTAAATGGAGGGACCGTCATAGCCATGTCTTATGTGACGCTGTGATTCCAATATAATCTAAACCAACTAATAATTATATGGCTTGGTACAAATCTATTGCAACTGAGTTTGTCTCCGAAGATATATATGTATATAACCTACACTAAATCAATTACACACAAGAAGCTTCAACGTCTAACCTAACAAAATTATTAGACCAATTACTCACAACCCCTACCCAACAAAATTACCGACCCACAAACACACAAATCCACAACCAAAACATGTCAAACACCCAACCACAGTACCAAAAACGCCCCTATACCATCGCGAACAAGATGGCTATTATCATGACAACCAAAATATATATGCCTCCAACACATCATCTTACCATAGCCAAAACACCCAAGTAACATATAACACCAACCACTCCTCCTACCATAGTTGAAAATGCCCAAACATCAGAACAACCATATGACTATTAAACACCATAACCATTTCAACATTCCTCAAACAACTGGGGTGAATCAATAACGAGTGCAACGAGTTAGGATAGCTAGGGGGTATGGAATCGGTGACCGATATAATCAATCGATCGTCATCGTTAGTGTCTGTAAAACTTTTTAAAATTAAATATTAATATTTATTATTTATGTTTTAAAAAAATCACAATACACACTAGTGCCAGATGAATTGGCGCCACCTTTGAAAAGATATACACTAGCGTCAATTGGACTGACAACACCATATGTAGTCGCCAATTCAATTATACCACAATTAAAAAAAGTAGATAAAGTCGCAAATTCATGAGACACCACCATTATATTTCAATTTTTTTTTTGAAAATGAAGTAGATTGAGTTTTTTTTTTGAAATCTTGATTATTCTAAAAGTAAATTAAAAAAATATGAGTTATTTGGATAAAAAATTTTAAATGTCTCTCTACCATTTAAAATTGAATTTTAGAAAAAAAATACTATTCTATTTACTATTAATTTTTTTTTTATCAAGACAATCTTAAACCCACTCTATAATCTTATAAAATTCATTTAGTTCTACAAAATTTATATAAAATACCCATCATTTAATGAAACCTATACACATAATTTAATTGACAGCAATGCTAATCTTTACATCAAAATTTGACACCAATATTTATATTATATATGTTTTTTTTAATCGTATTTATATATAGTAAACAATAATTTTTTTAAATAAAAATTATATTTATAAGCAGTAAACAATATCATAAATAGTAACATTAGTCGTGACCGTGAACAATAACTTTTAATAGTGAAACAAAATTATTAATTTAATATAAAAAGTAAATTAATGAAATAATGAAATGGATTAATAAATAATTAATTATTAAAAATAATTTTTAGTTGAAAAATAAAGATTAATAAAAATAAAAAATTAGTTAATTAAATTATGAATTGGTTAATACACGTTTAAATAATAAAAATAATTTTGGTAATAAAATAAAGTTGGTTAATATAATATAAAATATTGGTTAATAAAATTATGAAGTTGATTAATTATATATATATATATATATATATATATATATATATATATATATATATTAATATATATATATATATATATATATATATATATATATATATATATATATATATATATATATATATATATATATATATATATATATATATATATATATATATATATATATATATATATATATATATATATATATATATATATATATATATATATATAAGTGAGGATCCACTTCCTCCCAGAGTAAATTTTTATAACTTATTTCATAATCATAACTTTTAAATTAAATTTAATCGAATGATTATAAGTAAAAAATTAATTTAACTACTAGATTAGATTCAATTTTAAAGTTACCCATTAATTATATATATATATATATATATATATATATATATATATATATATATATATATATATATATATATATATATATATATATATATATATATATATATATATATATATATATATATATATATATATATATATATATATATATATATATATATATATATATATATATATATATATATATATATATATATATATATATATATATATATATATATAGTACTACCAACACACTCTTTAATAGAAACTTTAAATGAGTTTTTTTAAGTTAGCATTACCTTTTTATATAGTATTACCCTTTTAGATATTCATTAAAGAAAACTACAGTTACCATAACAAAATTCCGGAATATTATAGTTGAATATTTAAGAAATAAATAGCAAGATTTATGAAGGAAAAAGTAGGCGAAAAAATGTAAAAGAGAGACCTTTTTAATATGGGATAATAATATTAATGAAGAATAACAATAAACAAGAGATCATAAGAATAGTGTAAGGAGTTGGTTCGTTTGAGTTTGAATTTGAGAATTAGCATAAACATATGAATAATCCTCAGATCCTGTTCTACTTCCCAACGTCGACGACTCCGATTCCTCGGACAGTGTCTTGTTTGCTACTTCATTATAATTCTCTTTTTCGATCATTACTTGTTGCTCTCGGTGATATTGACGACGATCACTATAACTTCCCTTTTCAGTACTCTCATGATCAGGCAGTGGTGTCAACGCGCCACCGTTACCTCTCAAAACTTGTTCGACGCCGTGTTGGCAAAACCGCCACCTCCCGGTCCACAAAAGCCCCACCGCTCCATTCACCGGATTTATAGTTCTTCCAACAGCTTCATACATAAGTGACTGGAACAAACCTGGTTAATAAATAACTCTTATTATATTTATAACTTTTCTGTCTATTGCTGACTTCTCTAGCTCGAAGAATTAGTCTCTGCAGTTGCGTGCAGATGATATCTGATTTTTTACTAATCATAAATTTAATTGAACTGAATTAATTACATACATACCAGATCTTTGGTTGGGAGGAACAGAGGAAAGGAAAGACATGAGTGTGGCACGGCCGAAGAATTTGGCGACGAAGACAGTGGCGTTACCCTGTGCTTGTGGGTTTTGTATCCATGTTAGAGAATCTCGTAACATGCAATCCTCGCTGCATCCCTTTCGGAGGACACGACAACCGTTGCAACTCATTTTTATCTTCGATTCTTTGATGGAAAGGTATTAGTATTATGGGAAGAAAACAGAGTTAATTAGGTATTATATATGGTAGTATGAGTGTGTTGGAATACTACATCATCAACTAATTAACATTTGTTTGTTTTTTTAATTATAGTATTTGTATATATTCAAACCATGGTTGAGTTAAAAGTGTTGGGTAAGGTAGGGTCATTGTTGTGGTGGGGTTAATGAATCAGAATTCCCAACAAATTGGTGGTCACCTCTGCTGCTCAGATTCTCCGCAAATGTTCAGAGTCTCCATACTTGAAATTAGATTCCCTTCAAATTATTTTTTAAAATAAATAAGTTTAGTGTAACTCAATTCTAAAAGGTATTTATTTTTTTACATAAAAAAAAATTAAGGCAAGCACACGATATACTCAACCCTAATACCATCAAGAAACGAGATTAGTAAAAATTAGAAAGAGGGTAAACAAAATAGTGACAGTAAACAAAAAAGAAAGGAGCTTAATCCATACAAATCGACAGCTGACATAATCAATCTAATTTAGAACAAATAATCTGACTCTTGAACCTGACACCAAACCAATTCCAAACTTTTTTTTTTGCTGAAACCACAATCTCAAAATCACCATTTAATCTACCATTAAACAAAGTATCATTTCTAAACAAATCAAATTGCTCTCACCACTTCTAACAAAAATAAAATCCTGTAGCCTTCGTTGACCTTACCCTGAACAACCAACACAAGAGAACAAATGCTCTATGGGAGAAGCAAAGGGTCAAACCTGTGAATATCCAACCAGACTAAGAACCTAGACCAAACTTCTACCACATCCTTACATGAAACGAAAATATGGAAATGAGATTCTTCTGGGCCTAGACATAGCGGTAAAACCATGCTACGAACGCTAGAAATGACACCACGCTTGGCCAACTAATCCCTCGTCTACGATCTTTCCAATAAAAGCCTCCAATTAAAAGTTTGAATATTGCTCGGAACATTTGATTTCCAAACAATTTTCTGCGCTAACTTCAAATCTGAATTCGAATTAAACTCTTGAGGAAGCAAAGAAAACAATGCACAATAGGCAGATTTAACAGAGAAACCAAAAGAAGAAGGGCACAAAAAAAACAAATCCAGCACACTCGGAACAGGAGAAACAAACAAAATAAATTCAATAAGACAATTATGTGATCAGGATTTAAATGTGGAATTCAATAAGTCTGAATACAATGTTTCCAATAAATATCAAGAAGTAACATTGAAGGGATCATTATCCAATGAAAACTGTTATGTATGGATCAAAACTCAACCCTCAACAAGCTTAAAAGATGAGTCCAAAATTCTGCAGAATTAGATGTCTCACTGATGAAAGTCTGTCATTACATAAAATCAGTTGAAGAATCAGAGAAAAATGAGCAAAAGAGTAGCCAAAATGATGAAGAAAGACCCAAGAATAAGTAAAAAAGAGTCAAGTATGAAAAAATGAGACTTAGTGGAAGTTCTAGTGAAAAAGGGTGAAAAACACACATCTACTGGAATAATCACGCGCAACATCGCTTGCGCGATAGAAAAGCAAAGGGCTCATTGTCGTAACCCGAAATTTGACCTCTCTTGGACCTTTTGCATAAACATATGCGTTCATATTGCTGGCATACGCATTCGCATTTTCTCTCTGTAATCTTTATTGCAGGAACTTTCAGGTTCTTCGAGCCCGATTAATCACATCCTCTCAAAGATATTACATCATCAAAACAAGCATAAAATAAAGGTTTCTACACCTATTCATCAGAGCAAGAGGTCGAAAATCAGAGCCATGACCACAACATCATTTTCAGGAAAAATTGGGCTAGTTTTAGCTTGGTTAATCAATTAACCATTTGCTAGTGGAAATAGGTTAATCGAGTAACCCTTGCAAAATTTGCAGAATCTGCTGCATTGTCAGGACAATAACTTCCACTTCTCATTTTTGGGGTCTACATTGTTCTAGCATTGTGTGGAATATTCTAGACAGTTCTAGACACTTCAAGACATTTCTACACACTTCAAGACATTTGCTATAATACATTAATTGGGATTGAGACCACCATGTTACTTCATTTCTAAGCTTGTGGGCCCTTAGATTCAAGTTTGCATTGTGATGGTTATCGAGTCAACTACCTAACTAACTAAGTTAACCTCCAACTAAGTGAGTTGAGGCTAACTAACTCCAATGCTAGTTCCATGGCTACATCTAAATCTCACTCCAAACCAAGCAACTCCGAAGAAAAACTCTATATAAGCAAATCATCACAATTTCACGAAAAGCCAATCATTCTCAATTTTTCACACTTGATCACTCTCAATTCTCTCACATTCTCTCTGATTTTTCTGCAACTTCTACTCATAATCTTCTTCTCTTTCATCCAAAACCTCACTAGAGCTCAAAATCTCCACTAAAGAGTAGCAACTTCTTCATTGGAAGTGCTTGATCTTGAGCTTAACCATCATTATCTTGCACACTCTTGTTGCTTTTCTGGAGTTTTATCGCATTCAGATTCATCTCAAGTGATTACTTCAAGTTTATTCTGTATAATTTAAATTTTGGAGTTTTCGTCGAATTTTGCCCGGTTTCGCTATGGTTCAATTTCAAATTCTGATTTCTCTAGATTTCTTTGAGTAACTCCATCACATTCTCTTTGCAACAACATCCAAGGAAAATCTCAGTCTTGTAGGTTGGTTAATCCTCACTCTTTTCACTATTTCGATCGTTATCGTATCGTTTGTGTAACACCCTTTTCTACCCCACAAATAATATGGCAAAATAACACAGATATCAGAGTAAATTATTAAATTTTCACAAAAGCCACCAAAAGGGCGTACATTCCCAAAGTCATCAAAATAGGCCACGGCTCCGTAAACAACGGGTTTTCCCAAAAATATATCAACAGCATAAAACAACGGAATTCAAAGGCATACGTCAAGGTTTCCTCATAAGGGAAAATGAAAAAATAACTCAAGACTTAATGCATGTGGTACCAATCATCACAACATGATGGACACTGGGCCATCAACCCTCCATAGATCCCCATCAATAGGATCAATTCTACTAGAGAACCGGAGCACATCAAAATACTTCACATCCACACAATGGGATTGAAGCCAAAGTAATCGAGGTCCTGAACCGAAGTCCGGGTGCACATGAATGCATGATTCACACGTCAATAATAATCCCCATAATAACATCATAGGTGCATCATCATTCATCATAATCATCATCATCAAACGTCATAGCTCATCGTCATAATCATCATCATACATCATACCATCACAGTTCATCACAATAATCATCATCATATCTCATGTCGTCATAGTTCATCATAATCATGGTAATATCATCATAATACATCATATAAACTATCATGTAATCATATACAAACCACATAGCACTCACAGTCATACTCATATTAATTCATCATATTATCACATATTAATTCATAACTATACTCGCGGTAGTTCTCATACTATCGCCTATTAATCACATAAAATTCACAGTCCTACTCATGTTAATTCATCATATTATCATATATTAATTCATAATTACCCTCATGGTAATTCATCAGGAAAATCGCAACATCAAAACATCAAGACATCACTGAACCAGAACATGATTCATTAATAAAACATATACACAATTGACTTCTCAAACAAAATTAGATATAAAAATATTGGGAAACAAATTCCCTTATGTATACTATGTTATAACCCTGTTCATTAGCTTTCCAACTCTTCAAACGGGGGCCAAAGAAGACTTACGGATCAAAAGTTACGTCCAAAACGATTTCGACCGAAAACATGAACAGTTGTGACGGACAGCAAAACGCTGTTACGCTCCAGAACCTAAATCGACCCAAAAGTCTACACGATTCACTTCCCCAATGCCCCCAAAACATCCCTAAATCATCCCTAAGGTCTTACGGTAATAAAGGCATAAAACCTACGGTTTATTAGGCCAATCCCGTAACATATTCATGTCCTAAAATCCCAATTTTCCTTCAATTACACCCTAAGGCATTAGAGTTACTCACTATCCAATATCTCTATCCCTTCAGAGTCAGACCTATAACAATTCAAGGTTTTGACTATGAAGTCCTAAGGTTTCCCTTTTCCCCCCAATTGAACCACAACCAGATTCACTAATAAAAGGTTTTACGCCAGGAAGGGCAAGGATCATTAATTCTTATATCCATGCCTTAACAGTCAGGAATACTTACCACTAACCACAATCATCAGGGTCCTCACCATCTTCCCTTTTTCTCACAATCAACCCAAAATTCCTTAAACCTTAAATCATCCATAATTACATTGAAAGGCACACATGGAAAATCATGAAAAGCTATACTCCCCATACCTTATCCGATTCAAAGCCTTCGCGATTATCTTTGGGAATCTTCTGCCTCCAATCTTTTCCTCAGAGCTCTGACCACAATATTTTCCACGGTTAACTAAAATGAATCCTAAATCTCTTTAGAACTCTATTTTGTCAAACCTAGTCTTGGGCCTCCCAATTTCGGCTTTCCCCATAACACCCTTACTAACTCCTCTAAATGCCCAAATTACCCTTATTTCACTTATATTCATTTTAATTAATAATAACACTAATAAATTAATATTATATACTATTAATCAAATAAATAACCCAAAAATGCACACTTTTCCAATAATCCAGCAAACTACCGAAAAATCGCCGAAACATGAATATTCTCAATTAAATGAATTAACTAAAATATTCCAATTAAATTTGGGGTGTTACAACTCTCCCCCACTTAAAAGAATTTTTGCCCTAAAATATTACCTCAAAGAAACAAAGTCGGATACGACTTCCTCATCTGATCCTCACACTCCCAAATCCAACTTTCTCCAGCTAATCCTCCCAAAACTACCCTTACCAAGGAAATCCCTTTACCTCGAAGTTGCTTTTCGTTCATCAATCCGAACTAGGAATGCCTCAACAGTCAAATTATCTCCC